ATACTTACTGCAACTTTGAAAAAGTTTAATAACTATTTAATTCTTATTATAATTGCATTGTTTTAAAATATTTTTAAAATGAAATACTACGGAATATAAAAAAAAAATTTGGTAGTGCAAGAATTATTGAACTTTTGTTGGAAAAAATATAATTTTAAAGCAAAAATATAGCCATAAAGTGCTTTTTTTATCTGAATACTCTATAAGTCTTGTTTAGTGGTACGTTTAGACACCTTCCGCCGGTTGTCTAAAATCATTACAATCTTGTCGTAGAGTCTGTCTTTGGAATGTGTTCTTCCAATAAAACCTGCACAAAGTGATGTATCTTTCAACCTTGTCATTAACAACTGCAAATTAATGTACACTGGAAACAAATGTCTTGAGAGATCATTTGTTGAGATTTTTTTCCAAATTCGACATTCCTCCTTTTTTCTATGAGAGAATGTCATCTTTGGTTATACCAAGAAGCAGAAAAAAGAGAATAGGCTCCTGAAAAACAAAGTCTGATAGCTTTGAGAGGGGACAGACCTGTGTAAAAGGTTATGGTTGTTTTTTGTCAAAGGTGTTCATCTCTGGAACATTATATTTTAACAATTCCACAAGAATATTCATTCTCTTTTTCTCCTCTAAGCTTCTATGTCAGCTAAAGCAAAGATAATATACTGTGGCGTAAAAATCCCAAATGCGTCTGAGAATACTAAGATTAAGAGCTTCACTAACCTTTCCGTACTTCTTGGAATAAAGTAAATCTATCATGATCTGCAATGAAATCTTGAATGCTCTAAGATTATTGGATGGAGCCTGAGCTGCCATTAGGCTCTTCAGAATGAATAAACTGTGAAAGATCACTTTATAACCTGTTGCATCCTGTATTATCTTAATCGCATTGATACTGAGTTGCAGTTTTATTACTATTGCAACTCTTGGTCATTGAATATTAAGAATAACAGATACAATGAATTAGTCATAAATCTTGCTTCGTGATGTGCACCTGGTTGTAGAAACTTGAAGTTTAACAAATCTGCTCCGAGGTGAAAAGCTATCAGTTCACATAAAAACTTGTAATCATCTCTTTCAAAAAATATTTGTTTTAAGATCTGTCGTGCAGAACTGCATTGTTTAATTTGCAAGATTGTAAAAGAGGGTTTCAAGAGCAAACTCATGTCTTTTTCAATCAAATTCCTCAATGTTGGCCAGTGCATCCACACCTTTTTCAACGTTAAGCCAAAGATCTTGATGTTTTTTGTGTAAGGATCGACTTGGTCCCTTTGTTTCTTCCTGTCGTTCCATCATAACATGATGGGCGTGTTGTTCTATCAAATCAGTGATGTAGCTACCTTGGGGCTACGCGGGGCAGTGCCCCGGGGTTCTTTAGCTCATGGGGCCCTCGAAATCTTTTTAGAAATCTGTGTAAGAAAATTGCGTCAATCGCATTAAAATGGCGTTTTTAATATATTCATTATATAAGTGTTTCAAAAGGAAAGTAGAAATCGTGAAATAATGAGCAAATATGAAGTGCTAGAATGCGACCTAACGGAAGTATTTACAGCAATATTATTGTTCTTTAAAAATTAAAAATAATAAAAAATTATTTAAGAAGTAAGATGGGCCAAACTCGACTCCGACATTTATCGCTAATAGCAATTGAAAACAAAACCGCATCTATACAAAATTGAAAACAAAACCGCATTTAAACAAAGTCATTGATACCTTTTCAAAAACTAAAAATTGGAAAAAATTATAAATATAATTGTTATTTAGTCAGTTGGTAGGCCCGACCTTCATATAATAATCCTTTGGATCTCCTCTATTTCGTTTTATTAGCCAATCCTACACCAAGTATTAATTCTAATTTATGTTGTTACTGTTTAATATTCTTATTACCTGTCCTGCAGTGCACAAAAAAGAGCTTAAGTTGCTTACCATTTTTAAAATATTTGTATATTTCATATTTTTATTTGATAAAAACTAATCAGTTTACATAGCAGTGGGGCCCCATTTTTTAATTTGCCCCAGGGCCCTTGGTTACCTAGCTACGCCACTGTATTTAATGGTGCCTAAATTTAATATTATTATCATTTTCTTTCATTACTCTCAGAATAAAGAAAAAGAAAAAATATATCTGTAATTTGTATAGTAAAGCATCATATCTGCACATTAGTCAAAGAATTGGAGAAGCTAGAGACTAAACTGCATTATTTTTAATTGCACTAAAACACATAGTTTCATTATGTTTTCCAGTAATCAAGCAAGTTGTGTCAGCAAAACAAGCTGGTCTGTTAAGTCATAATTTATTGCTTAACTTGGGCTTCCAGTTCGAACATGTTCAAGTTCAAACGTTCAAACCTCTGCCATTTTTTAAGAGTTACTTCGAACTTTTTTTCTCTAAAAGTTCGAACATGTATATATATAAAAATTAGGTTTTTATAATCATTTTTTAACAGTTAAACCAAAATTTTTTTTACACTCTGAATTTTTTAGACAGTTTTCATTACCCTAAATTTTTGTTGTGCAAAATTTTTGTTTAAAAGTAACACTTTTAAAGTTTAAGTCACAAATGGATTATAAAAACAAATAATTTAGAACGTTACTTTTTTGTTTTAAAATAGATTCGTGCGTTACATATTTTTAATTGTTAAAGAAATATCATGGTGAAACCCATAAAATAAATCATTAAAATTTCGAAATTTAAAAAAAAAAGAGTTAATAAAAGTTTTTAGTACAAAATAAAAAATATAGATATGTTTAAAGATGTAAACACAACTAGAAGATCTGAGGCATGAGGGCTACTTCGAATTTTGGGAAGAATTACAGAGTTCAAAGTGTAAAATCTGTAAAATTATTCTCAAAACATTGGCTAAACAACAGCTTTTACAAGGCATTTAAAAAAAAAAATACAAAATTGAAATTCTTAATTGCAATAACTCTGCGCCTGAGGCAACTGCAAACATTTTTGCTGACAAAATACCACAAATTGAAAGTTTTTTCTAGGATGATCATAAAACTCTACCTAAAATTTTGAGTCGACTATCAGCTATTGGTGGAACCAGCTTTCATATTAGCTAAAAGTGAAAGCGTTAAGCATTTCGTGCCTAGGGATACTAAATCCCTCAAACCATTTGCGATCTTGACATTCAATACTTCAGGTAAGTTAAGAAACAAGTTATAAGTTCTTTGAAAATGAAACTTGACGATGAACGTAAATTTAGTCTTACATTTGATGAGTATACTGCAGTGAAAAATAGAAGATATATAAACTTAAATCTACATCATAATGAAGGATTTCAATCGCTTGTAATATTAAGAATCCAATGTACTATGCTAGCAAAACCCATAACTCATTTGATTGGAATTTGAACAAAGACATTGTAGCTTCTGTTGATTGAGCTAACTTAATGAAAAAAAAAGGTCGTGACACTTAATCTGAACATCAAATGTGTTACAACCACGCCATTCATCTGTTGTGCTCTTTACAAAAAACAAAGTTGATGCACATTCATCCAAAACATTATTCAGACTGAGTTAAAGACAATTCTCGATTGAAATATACAACTTCTTTTTTCTTTGCAGTAGGAGTCTCTGTCATAAGTCTGGATCATAATCTGTTCCAGCACACCCATTGGAGAGTTCCTGCTCAAAATTTCTCAAACTTTCTTCTTCTGATGCTTTTTACAGTGATTGTCTTTTTTTTTGCTCAACAATAGCTTTCCTGTTGCTCTTCTTATGCAGCAGGTTTTCCATCCGTTTTTCAAAATCAGCTACTATTTCAGCAAATGTTTCGTCATTTTAGTTGGACATCTTTACCATATCTCCTTTCAAACATCTTTTCAAAAAAAATAGAATCCTCCTTTACAGCCTCCATACATTATCTAGAAACCTGGCAAATTAACTTTAAAATGTCTTCCTTGTGTATAGGAAACAAAATATTGGCCTTGTCTTAAAACTCTTGAGTGTGTTGGCACATGATTTCTTTGCTCATCTTTAGTGTTCTCATTAAAAAAAAACTTAATATCCTAGGTATACAGAGCAATAATTCTATTTCTAAATTAAAAAGTTACAACATTAAAAAAATGTCAACACTTTAAAATATACCATAAAAACTTATATGTATATATATTTCACTGATAAATATGTTTCACAGAATACTTAATTTTTATGCCCTTACTTAATTAACCGTTCACTGATGATAAAATTTTGATCGAAGCCTGCCTTAATCCAAATATTATTCAACTCTCTTATGATGCACACATTTGATGTTTCATTATTCTATTAGCATAACAGATACCACGACTGCATTTAAGCTTGCCTGGATTCCCTAGCAGACTCCCGATTTCGGATGACAATTTTTTTATTGCAGTTGCATGACTCTGGTTAATCCGGTAAATTCTTTATTTTTGTATTTCTAAATATAATTGGAGCGTTTTAATTAAAACGCTGCAAACATATTTAGAAACTGGCATAGTTTTACTTAAGTTTAGAGATTTTTTTATGCTGGTATCCAGTGCTCAACTTATGCTGGTATTCATTCAATTATACCGCCAGGGTTAACATTATTTTTAGACCATTAGCTAACTCTTTTAATAAAAATTTCAAAAAACCAAAATTAATAACAATGTTATAAACATCATTATAAATCATATGTATACTTATGTAGCATAAGATAACAGAACTTCAGTATCTAACTTGTTTTGTTTCTTTACTTTTTTTAGGTAACTTAATGTATAGTGATTTAATTACTTTTTGATAGCTTAATATTTTATATTCAGATGAACTGTACTTATTTTTTGTAAATACAAAATTTACAGGGCAAAAAGGGCAAAATAAAAACAAAAATTAAAAAAAAAACATATTTACTATATTGTAACTAAAACAATTAATGGCTAAATAAGTGCATACATAAAAATACAAGATAAAATAAATGCTTTTAGTTTACAATAACTCATAATGCATTCAGTAAGAAAAAAAAAAAAAACGTATGTATATGTGTTTTAAAAATCATTTTAAAAGGTACATTTGCGTAAAATTGTTTTAAAGGTTTGATGTATCCAACCTTAAAATAAAAAACTATTTTTATATAACATGTCAATATTTAAAACTAATTTTATATTTATTTATATATTTTAAATCTATTCAATAATTTAATGAGTGTAAAATATATACTTAGCTATAGCATTATTTTGCTAATACAAAAAAATAACTTCTTACCGCACGATTGACAAGAAGTCAACGCAGCATCAAAACGTAAGTAAATAGCGTTTAACTCTATAATAACACCGTCTAACATGGTTGTGCGCTCAAACAATAAATCGTAGAGTTTCCATAAACCTGCATTCAAAATTACCCCATTACAGTAGATGACATCACGTAAATTTTTGTTTTTAATCTAAATTAAAAAGAAAAACAATATTTTTATAACCCATATACATATATACACATATACATATATACATATACATATATACATATACATATATACATATATATATATATATATATATATATATATATATATATATATATATATATATATATATATATATATACATTTATACATATGTATATATGTATATATACATATATATATATATATATATATATATATATATATATATATATATATATATATATATATATATATATATATATATATATATATATATATATATATATACAGTACTCGAAGTGGGGCGGAATGCCATCCAGTCACCCTTTTATAAACTATAAACCATCCCGCCATCTTTTTATAAATCTCTATATATAACAATCATTAGGCTGGATAGTATTTTTAATTGACCAAATACCATCTCGCTACTTTTTTTCTCCACTTCAAACACTGTATATATATATATATATACATAAAACAAAAAAAAAAAACATTGTTTTAAAAAAAACAAAAAAATAACGTACTTTGATAATAAAACAAAAATGACTTACTAATTCAAGTTTTGCTCTTGCAGCTTTAGCTTGACTTAACTGATCAGCAACATTCGATCTCAATGTGGTTAACATTATAGTGTTGCAAGCTACATTCAACAATGAATTGAATTAAAAATCAACAATGAATTAAAGTATCAATTAATTATAAAATTGTTAACACTAAAAAGGGTGAACCCTAACTTTAATAAACACATAAAAATACCTTGACATGCTTTATCAACAGTATCATCTCCATATGAACTTAAATATCCAAGCAAAGTTTCTATAGTTCCAAGAGTTAAACCTCTTGATTGAAATTGGTCAAACGTAGAAACAGAAGACCATTGTTTAATTTGAGAACAATTGCAGCGTTTTGCAATAGCACATGATTCTTTAAACAAAAATAGAAGCAATTTCAATTGAGAGAAAAAATTGAACAAAAATTTTTAAAACTGCAATAATTCACACAAGTAATTTTTTTATTTGTTGTAATTAAAGAAGTAAATAGTAAAGTTTTACTTGGAAAATCAAACAGTTTACAAGGAAGAGTTTGCGTAGTGTTGCCAGTACAATTATCACCAGCCCCTATTGGGTAGGGAACTGAGCATACTTGTGATCTTTGAATAACACCAGCATCACAACTTGCACTGCATGTAGAATAATCACTCCAAGCATCCCAAGTTCCTCTTACTGAATCATGAAAAGCAATAAAGATATTTAAAAAAATTTAATTATAAATAATTACTTAAATGAGTGAAACTTATAATTCAAAAACATATTTCATAATCTCTACAAATATACCAGTATATAAAAAAAATATCCATACTTGAACAAATAACTCCAACATTACATTGAACAGTTTGGATTTTATCACCATTATTTTCAGAAGAACAAGGTCCATTAAGAGTGTTGTTAACACAGAACCTCTGACGCGAATAAGTCGGAATAATATTATCAGTAGACAGGCAAGATGCAGAGCAATCAGTAAATGGTCCCTAACTTGTCCACACACCTGGTAGAATAAAATAAAATTAATAAAAAACTTGTTCAAGCAAATATAAATAAGATAAATTAACAAAAATATTTCATAACTTAATTTAAATAGTTTCATTTGTTAATAGGATATCCTACATTAGCATTACAACCGAGAGATTCAACAAGCAAAGCACCACCACAATTGGCACCAAGTGTAGCTGTTGGGCATGTTCTAGTACTAGTTTGAGATAGGGTTATCAACAAGTTGCTTCTACAAGACTCTGAACACAAACTCCAAGTGCTCCATTGGCTAAGAATTCCTTTAAGAGATCATTTTTGTAACAAAGTTTTAAAAATTAATCTGCTTGCATTCAATGAGTCAAAGAAAAAAAAAAAAGTTAAAATTTTTTTATTTAACTTTTTTAAAATTATTAAATTTTCAAATAGAAGCTTTTATTAAACATAATTTTTAATAAAACATATTAAACATAATTTTTATTAAAACATATTAAACATAATTTTTAATAAAATATATTAAAAATAATAAACTTGAACTGATATCTTATTTGATAACTTCTCTGTGACAGCTTGAGGATCACAGTGGATAGTAAAAATGGATAATGAAACCCAAACTGTTTGCTGCTTGTTTTATCACAATTATCACAATATAGAAATATCAATATGTTAATATTCCTATATCCATAAACAACATTTAATGAGTCCTCTACTTTACGTCTTCTTGGATTATCCTTTACTAATGGCTTCACATAATAAACATTTATTACTTTTGCAAAGTTGGCATCTGCTAAGGAGGCCTTCTTTCGCTGTGCTTGTCATTTTTTTATTCCTTATTTCATTTTTTACCTCTATAAATCTCTTATTTGCTTTTGTATGGAATACTATTGTCATATTTGGGCTGCTTCTACTGAAAATAAGCCTCTTTTTTATATGGTAATGGTAGAGTGCTTGCTTTATAAACAAGAAGTTTCAAGTTCGATTCCCATCACATTCCTGGTAATACCACGCTCAACTTGTTTCTTTTTGCAGAAACCTATTTTATCAAAGTTTATGTTTCAGAGTTATAGAGTTGAGAGAGGGTTGTAACTACAATTAAAGTAGCCTAATTTGGTGTAGTAGCATTCTTGGCTTTGGGGGAAGTGAACTAACGTTAAAAAAAAAAACAGGTCCAAAAAAAAATTTCAAATGTTTTTAGGCCTGCTCTAGTTTTCAAGTGTGAACCTTATTAACAATTTTCTTTTCTATAAATAATACAATCATTGCTGCTCAAGCGAGCCATAACTAATTGTTTCATCAACTAAAACTCAATTTAGTGTAACTTGTTATTCAGCTGAGTCGCATCTTTTTACTATAACTTTCATATTCAAAAACTTTTATTCATCTAATTCTCTCTTCAAACATTAGTGTCTTACAATTCTCACATTTTTCTTAAAGTTTTTTAAGTCATCCAACTTCGGTTTTCCATTTTAATTATTTTAATTATCTTAATTACTCCTAACTTAATTAGTGGTTGCTAAATTTCAACTTAATTAGCGGTTTTTACAGCCATTCAGAGAGTCAATTTTATTTTTTAATAAAAAAAAAGTTAAAAATAAAATTTAAAAGGGTAAAAAATGCATAAATACATGTTAAAATATAGTTTCATAATGCATTTTTAAAGCATAACAAAACTATATTTTAGTTATTTTTATTGATGACTTTTTTTTTGTAAAAGTATAAAATAACTAATAAAATTTACCAGGACACGGAACATCTTTAACACAAGAAGTTTGATCATTTAATACAGCTCCACCACAATTTCCATTTAATGATGCATTGATACATTGTCTAGATCTGTATTGCAAATTATATTGACCAACTGTTTGTTGACATGTAGCTGGACATTGACTCCACGCTGTCCAATCAGTCAATTGACCTGGCAAAATTTGTGAAATTATTAATAAATCAAAAAAAAATTATTTAATAATTTTTTTTTTATTTATTATTACCCCTAAATATCTGCTTGAGATAACATAAGTTATCTCAAGCAGATATTTATAAAATTCTACCTGGACATGCTACTCCTGCATTACAAGGTTGAATATCTGTAAGTGATTGTCCTTGACAATTACTTCTAAATGTAGGATTTAAACAACTTCATACTCTGTTCATTGTTGGTACTACTGAACCAATCTGACAAAACTTACTGCATGCAGAAATTCCTGACCACTGTGTGAGATCCCCTACAAATATTTTTAAAGGAATAATTTTTATTATCATTTTCAAAGAAAAGATATTATAAATAAATACTGTAAAAAAATAAATAATCAAAAATACCTGGACAAGAAACTTGGAAGTTGCAACTTTGAATTTCACTACTTACGCCAACACAACCGCCATTCAATGTAAAATTTTGGCAAGTTCTTGTGTGAAACTGTGTAGGAGAAATGTTGATACTAGATTGACATGATTCGGAACAAAAACTCCATGCTGACCAAGCTGTATAAAAACCTATAAAAAAGCAATAATATAACAAAATTAAGGATAATAATTTATGATTAATCAATATATTCAATACTCTATGACAATTATTATTTATAATAATATAAAAATTAATATTTAATATATAAATTTATAGCAACCAATAAAAACATCTCATGATCAAAAATTAATAATTAATGAATGAAATTAAATTAATTAAAAACCATTAAAAATATTATGAAAAATTGATACGCATCATCAAAACAACAGAAGTTGCATCATCAAAACAACAGAAGTTGCATCATTGCAAACTCTTTTATGAAAAAATTAAAAAACAAGTGAGACAAAATATCAAAGCAAATTGATGGTAATGCTCAAACAAAATATAAACTTATATTCCAAAGAAAAATATTTTGGTGTAAATTATTACCGATGTATTAATTTTATTGATCGCAAACTATTATTCAGAATTTTTTAGCTACTACCCCAAGCACTCCATGAACCATAAATAATTATTGTAAATAATAAAATGATTTTTTATTATTTACAATATTTATTTATGGTGCATGACTTTTTTGTAGACATCTATATATAACAATATTTAACATTATGTTAGTCCTAAATAAGTTCAAATATAACACAAACCCATTGTCTTATTAGCAACATTAAATCAGGGGTATCATTTGTATCTGGGATATCTGAAACTGTTGACAGGTGGCTTAAAGTAATTTTTATATTTTTACTGCCTTCCCCCCTTCCCCAACCCCATTTAACATCTCAGTATAATATCATTTTCCTACTTTTTCAATATTGATGATTATTTTGATTGGTTACAAATTATTACCCGGAATACTATCTTATTGTGACAACCATAATAGCCAGTAAAAGATTACCTGGACTTGGAACAAGCTGATTACAAAGTTGCTGATCATTTAAACAAACAACATTACAACCCACAACATTTGGATTCCATGTAGAAACTCCATTACACAATTGGTTTCTATACTGATATGGTCCATTGACCAGAGTGTTACAAGTTGCCGAGCATGCACTCCAAGCTCCCCAACCACTCAAAGTTTCTATTTTAATAATTTGCACAAAGAAAAAGTTAAACAATTTTAAATGGTAACCAAAACTTGTACTATACTAACATATACTAACATATACTAAACTTATTTTTTGTTTAACTTTTATTAAATTTAAAAATTTAATTAAAATTTAATAGTTAATTTATCTTTTATTAGATAACATTTATGTTGTTGTAATAAATATTTAATTGTAATTTATAATAATTATAATTTATGATAATTATTTTTAATAAAAGTTAGTAGTAGGAGTAGATTTTGCTGTGCTGGTAAAGCAAGTGAGTGTGTTTTCATGCACACTTTGACAGCTGTTATGCTTGATTGCTCCTCAACCAGCAATCAAGAACAACATTAAAGTTATAAACCGATTGTGCTGTTACAACATTTGGAAGCAAGTTCAACAGATCTGCAATTCTATTGAAAAAGAAATGTTCTCTTGATGGAAGTCTGGCAAATTCTTTGTAATATTTAAAACAGTAACCTCCTAAGTTGTTATTTACAAATGAAAAACTTTTGTTGATTTCTATATTTTCAATGCCATGAACAAATTTATATAATTGAATCAAGTCACCTCTTTTGCTTCCTACATTTAAAGTCTAAAGAAACAAATTGAACTTCATATGTAAGGTTTCTTATTGAAGGTACAAGTTTTGTTGCTTTGCGTTGCACTCTTTCAATAGCACCACAATCTTCTTTCAGATACAGAGACCAAACTGGAATAGCAAACTCTAAAAGATGACGAATGAATGAAAAATAAAGGAAACGTAAAAGTTTACAGTCAAATCTCGCGAATGATTTTTTTACACAACATAGCATCTGATTAGCTTCACCAATTGCCATGGTGAATTGATCCTTCCATTAAAGATTTGTATTGAAAATAATACAAAAATCTCTTTCTGATTTCGATTCCAGCAGTTGAACACTATTAATAAAATGTGGAACTCTTTTTGTTACTTGAACCATAATGCATAACAACACATTTATTTACATTAAATCTTAATAGCCAGGCTTGGTCGGGAAGCGGGAGCAATCGCTCTTGATTGCTGACCACTTAAATAATATTTAGTTGCAAAAGGCTGGCCAGATTTTTAGTCATTTTGAGAACATTTTTAAAAGCAAAAAAAAAAGCGCTAGATTAATTGGACCGATAAGAGACAATTACAAAAAAAAAAAAAAAAGTTAGGCAAATAAAATATCTTTAAACGAGAAAAAACTTAAAGCTAAATAAATTACGTTTAGAACAAATATTTTCAAAACATCGCTCTTTTATAATTTTTTTTATAAAATTAAGCTATGTTTCTTATATAAAGTAACAACTTACGACTGTTTAAAAAAGGAAACAAATGCTCTTTATTTAGCAAAGTTTGCAAGTTTTAGTTTTATTTAAGCTAAATTATTTTATAAATAAAAAAGTTAATTTTTTCAATACCTATTTTATGTTTCGCGTAGTTTGAAAAGTTTAACATATTTGAAGCAATTCTTCTTAGTAAGATAAACATATGAAATAATTAAACCATTGAATTACTATAGAAATTAAATTAACAAAATAGAAATCAACTAAAAAAGTTAAAAATACTTTATGACAAGAAGCGAAACTGCTTCACAATATCGCTGATGATGTTTAGTGAGTGGGCTTTTTAATTTTAATTAGTATTTAAAACAGAAAAAAGTATAACGAGTTTCAAAAATGACAACTTAAGCGAAAACAATTAGAGTTAGTAAACCAATATATAGAAACTTTTATTTATATCTAATTATTTGCTATATATAGTTGTGTTCTGTCGTGACCTCAGGCGCGGTGCTTGTTCATCCGCGAGATACTTTGTATGCGTTGTTTGTGTTTAGTAACCAGAAACTTTTCATATGTTTGTTACATAATTAGTTTTATTAACTATAACGATTATAACTTCATTGAAAACACAATTATTTTTTTAAGTCTTTGTTTAAATCATAAAAATTGCTTTAAAAGATACATTACGATAAAAAACAGATACACAAAATTACATTTACATAAAGATTACATACTTTTTAAATAAAAAATAAGAATATACTAATAAAATCTATAATTTATAATAAACTTTTGAAATTTTGACAATTTAATATATATTTAAAATATTTATTTTTGTAAACAAATAATATATATCTTTAAAACAAGAAAACTAGAAATCTTAAAACGTAGCAAATCGTGAGTTATACAATTCCTAAAACATTTCGACAGAATACTCTAGAACTTTATTTTGCTAAGTCAGCATATTTTTTGAACCAATAGAATTAGTTTCTTCGCTAATTTGGCGGGTTTTTAGTGTTCGCGAATATTCTTTTTATTCTTTCGCACAAAGATGTTTTGAGAACATTCAAGTTTATTATGTTTCCATGTATGTCCGTAAAACAAAAATTTTTTGTTTCGTACATTAACTTAAATGTTCTCAAAACGACTAAAAAACCTGGCCAGTTTTTCGCAATTAAATATAATTTCCGTGATCAGTATTCGAGAGCGATCGCTCCCGCTTCCTGACCAAGCCTGAATAGCCCATCTTTGGTCCATTTAAAGACTCTATCTAAGTCATTTTGATTTTCTCTCACACACAGATCAGAATCTACACTTGCTAAAATCTTAGTATTATCTGCATATAACTTTGTGATGTTTTTTATCATCATAGTTAAGTCGTTAATATAAATAACAAAAAGAAAAGTAGCAATGGCTGAACCTTGCAGCACACTGCTTAAAATATCACTAACTTGTTAATAAATGTTAATAAATATTTAGTTAATAATTATGATATTTATTAAACCAAGATTAGAATACAATTATTTATTTTTTATCATTAAATAATGAAATATTTATATTTTTATTTTGAATTTCATTTGGAAATTAAAACAGTAAGTATAATGATTAATAATTAGTTATCAAAATAAGATTACTGCAATGATGTAAATATTGAAATAAAAAGTGAACTTGAAAACATTTTTTTTTAATACCTGGTCAAATCACTTCTGCTTTACAGTTTTTAAACTGATTTAAAACAGCTCCATTACAATTACCACCAAAAGAACTGTCTGAACAAACACAATAACTAGTTTGTTTTGGCACATTAAAATCATACTGAAAAGAAGTTGAACACTCTCCCCATGCTGACCAATCACTTAAAACACCTGAAATATAAATGAATATTATATATATAACTCCTTTACTAATAAGGCTATAAATCTAACAACTCTGAAATTAAAAATTCAGCTGTGAGTTGTAATAGAAATAAATTCTACTTATTAAACTTAATAATTGAAATTATATAAAAAAAAATTAAAAAATATAAAAAAATTGAAATTCAGTTCATTATTATTTTCAACAAAAGCAAAGAAAATAGTAAAACCAAGTTTTTTGACGAGTTACTACTTGCATATAATATTAAAATGTTGTATTACTGTACTTTTTTTTTTTTTTTTTGAATAAAAACAAAATCATTTAAAAGACATTTAGAATGTAACTTTTAAAACTTATCAAAAATTTTTACTTTAAAGTAAACTTTGAAAACTCAAATTTTAGATTGTTTTTGAAAAATTCTCTGT